GTGTGTGTGTGTGGTGTGTGTGTGTGTGTGTGTGTGTGTGTGTGTGTGTGTGTGTGTGTGTGTGTGTGTGTGTGGTGTCATGATTCGGTTCTGTGTTGCTTCCTGTCAGGCTTTTATTTTGATGCTACGTCCTGTTTTGTTTCACCACAGTTTCGGTCTTTTTACTTTCTTCATCACCCGCATTAGTTTCACCTGCTCATTATAGTTTGCACCGCATTATAAGCAGCCTTCACCCACCAGTCCCCGCCAGATTGTTCTAGACGCCAGCTCTGACTCTCCAGCACTTTTCGGTTTTGGTACTTTGTGTTTTTGACCGGGATTGTTTCTCTGACTGTTCTGTTCTGCCTTGCCCTCTTTCTTCGGACTGTCACCGTGTATGATTATCGGACTTCCCTTTGGACTACGTATTTGGATTCCTCTGCTGTATGTGTTTGCTGGCTCTGATCTCGGACTGTTTATACCGACCTGTGATTTTTGTGTTTCACCGTGTCTTGTATGGTTTTGTTTAGCGTTAGTTCTCTTATTAAAGAGACGGTTTTGTTTTACATTTCCTTGTCTGGCCTTTTAATTGAGTTCACCCTCAACATTTTTGGCAGCATAACGCGCCGATTCCTGACATGTGGTGTGTGCGTGTGTGTTTGTCTTTATATACTTGTGCGAACCAACCCCTGATGGAACACCTTTCTTGTGTGGACATTTCATTGGTGACTTTCACCAATGCGGTTTCTGTACTATGATGGACTCTAAATCCTGACTGAAAATCCTCAAACAAATCATTCTTGTGCAAGTGGTCACATAACTGCTTTGCTACAGCTTTTTCAAGGATTTTGGAAATAAATGGGCGATTGGATATTGGTCTATAATTAGCTAGGACACCTGGGTCAAGAGTAGGCTTTTTGAGTAGAGGTTTAATTACTGCAAGTTTAAAAGCCTGTGGAACATAACCTGTTAATAGAGAGAGGTTAATCAGATCTAGTATGGATGTGTTGATTAGGGGAAAGACGTCTTTGAGCAGCCTGGTCGGGATGGGGTCCAGGAGACATGTTGATGATTTAGATGAAGCAATTGTTGAGGTCAACTCAGAGAGATCTATAGGGGAGAAGTAGTCCAAGTATAAATGAGGTCTTACAGATGTTTCTAAAGCCATTGTAGTAGATGGCACATCTGCGAGAGCTGTGGGAGTGGTTCGACCCATTTTTTCTCTAATAGTTGTGATTTTATTTGTAAAGAAGCTCATGAAGTCATTGCTGCTGAGATCTAAGGGAATGTTAAGCTCAACAGCACTGTGGCTCTTTGTCAGCCTGGCTACAGTGCTGAAAAGAAACCTGGGGTTGTTCTTATTTTCCTCAATCAGTGATGAATAAAATGCGGTTCTGGCACTACGAAGGGCTTTTTTATATGTTATAGTGTGTTTACATGAAGTAGACCCACTCTACTTCATGTGGAAGTAGAGTGGGTCGTTTCCTAACCGGAGGATTAGTGGTTTGATTCCTGGCTTGTCCCGTCAACATGTTGAAGTGTCCTTGAGCAAGACACTGAACCCCCAGTTACTCCTGGTGATAACGGTGTGTGAATGTGTGAGCATTTGGGAGTGCAAATAGGTGAATGGCCAAATAGTGTGAAAGCACTTTGATTGTGCTGCAATGCATAGAAAAGTGCTATACAAGTATAAGACCATTTACCATTCAGGGGCTTTGGGCTCCCAGGGTTTTGAGGAGGTTCCAGTGGTTATACAGAAGGTTGAATTTGCCTTTAATGAGATTCTAGGTGAATAGGCTATAGGGTTCACTGCGAATGCGCTACTGAGAAAAGTTTAAGGTTTCGTGAGGATACTGTGTTGGTCCTTGAGGAGGTTTTATTGGCCCTTAAGGGGTTTTAATGGTCCTAAAGGAGGTTCAAGTGGTCTTCCTGGAGTTGTTAGGTTGTGTGTTGTGACCTGATGTCTCTGTAGTGAAGTAAAATGCTTCCAGGACTCAGCTGATGAATCAAACAAAAACTTTACTGACAGTGATAAAAGTGTGTTCAAGCTACAGGAACAGAGACTGAACCGGTCGGACTGCTGTGGGTCTGGTCCACACACCGCTCCCATGTTTACACAGGACTCACATTTCAAAGCCAACCTGCAGGCTTAAGGAAAGCTGAGAACTCACGTGTGTTTATCTGTGCCTACAGGGCCACCTGCTGGAGAAAGCAGGAATCATCAATAAGACTAAAGTAGCAGATCATGGCAAACGGATGAGGTGAGAGCCAAACCCTGAGTTTGTCTGAAACATCTGTTCTCTGAGGCTCCGATGAAGTGTTACTGTGGTTGAAAGCAGAAGCAGCTGGTTTATCTGATTGGGCTACTTGTTCAGCTGCGTCTGCCTTGTGTTGTTGGACAGGAAGAACTGGAGCCAGTCCTGGACCGTCCTCCACGGTGGGATCCTCACGTTCCACAAAGACCCCAAATCGGCTCCGACTGGGAATGCTGTAAGTAGCATTTGCACATACTGGAACAGAACCACTAAGTACACCGAGGTCACAATGGGTCTCATTCACCACCATTTTCCTGAGTACATTCCATTCTTAACTTTGTTTGCAGGTTGTTCTTAAGAAAGGTCCTAAGAAAAGTTGGTGTCTGATTCATGAAAGTGTTCTTAAACCACACAATTGTTCGCACCGGTGTTCTTACACTGATTAATCCCATGAGTCTGTAAATTTAAAGCACGCACCAGTTGTTCCTAATTAGCATAGATTAACGCCCCGCCAATGCCCATAAAAGGGCATGAGACCACAGGGCCATGTGCACATGCCTCACACGCAAGCAGAGGCTGAGAAAGGCAGGAACCCTACAATGACAATGTAAAGACGGTGGAGCAACGGACTCCAAACCGAAAAAAAACTGGAGCAGTGATGAAGTGGATGAGCTGCCATATTTAGTAGTGTCAGTAGTGGATGCAAAGTCTGAGTCTGGTCTCAGACACTGGACAACCAAACGCTGACACACTGGCCACGATAGCCGAGAGACACTTAAAGAAATTAACAGGAATTAGAAATAAAGATATGCACTCGAAAGTGTTTGGTTTTTAAGTAATGTGTTTCCTAATTCTGAACTACAATAAATCACACTGTAAAAGTTTAATTACTTTTAGAATCAGAATCAGCTTTATTGGTGAGGTGTGTCAGACACACGAGATATTTGACTCTGGTACATCGGCTCTCAATGTGCATGTACATATATCCCCATGCAAGGGGCAATTAAACAATAAACCATTATAAGGCTGTGTAATATAACAAAATAAGCAGTATAAACAGGCAGTAAACAATGCAGACAGACAAAGGAATGCTCATTAAAATGAGATAAATAGGAATAAAAACAGAGTAGTTAAAACTAGAGACCTGTACGGATCTGTACATTGACTTTTAAACTGTGAAAACTATTAATTGATTGCTGTGATTTTTAGTGTCATGTTTATTGTAAAATAATGGGAAAATATTTAAGAAATGGTAATAAGGAAAAACCCTGTTGTAATCGAATAATATTATATAACTGTAGAACTGAAGAAAAGTAAATAACCAGTTATTTCACACACACACATCAGCGCTGAAATGTGTGTGAGTGTGTCAGTTCTGTTCTTACCTAAGGACAAACCCCAAACTGATTTGTTTTTAGGAACGGTCGGTGAATGAGACCCAGTGTTCTTTGTATTTTTATTCTGGGACTTTGTGAGCTTTCAGAACAGGGAGGGAGTTTACTTTCAGTCCGTGGGGGTTTAGCTGTCAGTGTTTTCTGTCCTCTATACCTGTAAAGTCTACACATCCCAAACTTGTGAATAAAGACAAAACATATTTTGTTTTCACCACCAGTGTTGTGTTCCTGTCAGTGTGGAGAAAAGCATTTAGATCCTCATTCTGGGGATTTATTAATAGGCAGTGTAACCTTACAAAATATGGCCAGTGGTTTTGTATTTGTGTGGTATTTGCCATAAACCCTGTCCAGACCCGCTTTGTGCCATAGACCTCCACTGTTGTCCACCAGCTATTAACTCTGCCCCCCAGTGAGCCATACCGCTGCCCCGGGGGGCAGGGTTCCTCCTCAGGAAACACAGGAGGCCATGTGTTTCCAGAAAATGGCTCCAACACATTGCTCTGTGCAGCGAGGAGCTGGCGGAGCAACCTGAGCAGAGACTGTTGGCTTCTTCTGTAAAAAGTGACGGCCCTTGGAGAGACTTGGTCATGTGACCATAACGTTTCTAACATGATGAGCAGTGCCCCACTTTGTCTGATCTAGAAAGAAGGTCCAGGTACTCTAACGTGTAAATGTACTGTATATGAAGGATAAAAACAAACCCAAATTTTCCTTCTACAAACACACTAGTCAGTTATTACACTCATTTCACGGGAACTTGATCCGTGATGATGGTGATGATGGTGACGATGATGACGATAATGTTTCTTACCTACCTCGTGTTTTGTGATATATTTGAAGTAGCTGCTATGACACTGCGATTTCCCTTTCGGATTCCTAAAGTACCCTAACTGACTGACTATGATGATGAAGAAGCTGATGATAATGTTGATGATAGTGATGATGATGACAACTCTCTCTTCCTCAGATGAAAGCATCACAAATTGTTACAGAATACACTATTGATCTGAAGGGAGCTTCAGTCAGCTGGGCATCCAAGGACAAGTCCTCCAAGAAGAATGTTCTCGAGGTACACCATCACCTCTGTTTCCATGGTTACAGTCTGTTACATGTTTCTGTTACCATGGTTACAGTCTGTAGATGTCCCATGTCTCTGTTGTCATGGTGATATTCTATTTATCTTTTGCACAGTCATGCTATATCACTATTACCATGGTTGCTGTGGTCACAGGACTCATCTGTGATGATGCTGCCGCTTTCCGTATCAGTTGCCATGGTTACTGTAAAGCCCTGTCGGTGTAAAATGTTTTTCGATGAATGATCAGATGAAAACTGTGTTTTTGTATTTGTTGTTGCAGCTGAAGACTCGTCAGGGCTGCGAGTACCTGATACAGTATGACACAGAGAGCATCATCTGTGACTGGCACAAAGTGATCCAGGACGCCATCCGACAGCTGGTAATGGACACACTCGCCGCTCTTGCTACAGAGCTGAGCTGGGATTCCCCAGAGAAGGAATCATATTAATACTGAAACTGGAGGTTTGGTTCATTTGGCTGAACTCTTTCAGGAACAGGAGCATCTGACAGAGGACGAGGACGACGCTGCTTCAGACAAAGAGGACAAAGACAGGAAGAAGACCTGTAAGTCCCCAAGCTCACTCCCTCGTTTCTCTCTCTACCTGCTCCCGATGCACAGATGGTTCCAGGGCAGTAAATTCAGACACACTCTCATCATTTTCCCGTCATACAACGTAGCATACTGTACTGTGGGATTGTGCAGAAAGCAGTTTAGATGCCACAAACTATTTAAATCAGAAATTTCCTCTCAGAATTCACACTCTGAAGGGTTACTACGGAGTGACTTCTCCTGTCTCTCACAAGCCTGAAGTTTACTCCGAGGGTGACGGGGGGCCTTGTCTGACCTGAGGCTCTCAGGACGGGTGGTATCACATACTGTTTTTAACTGTAAAGTCCTTATAGGTGTAAAAACATAGACAAATATAGCAAATACAGATAAAATGGTTCCTTCCCCATATTAACTGTAAATTGTTTGTGTTTCAACTTTTCTTTTTATGAAGCGGCTACAAGAAGAATAAATTTAGACAAGTATAAAACATACTGAGCCAACAGAAACCAGTAACAGGGAGTGTGTAACACGCAGTATGTAGGCCTCCTCTGAGCTCAGGTCTTCTTCTTCCCTGTCTTAGCGACTTCATCGGGTGCTGCCGACTCTGAGCAGAGACGAGTGCGGACCAAACTTCGACGGTTCCTCCAGCGCAGGCCAACGCTGCAGAGTGTTAAAGAGAAAGGGTACATCAGAGGTAAAACAAAACACAAAGCCTGGTCTCAGGTCTCCCTGCTCGTTTCACAGCGGGTTAGGTATTAGGGTTAACCCTAACCCTACCGTGCTCAGTTAATGAGGCACAGCAGCTCCGGAGCTGATCAGAGGAGTAAACAACGTATAAACACAGAGCATTGACTTGTTATGGAGTGATAGTTCTCAATATGTAGAAATAACTGCTGGAGAAATGGAGAGTGTTGTGAGAATGATGGTAACACTGAGTGAAATACTCGATCCAGCCTCTGTGTTTTTAATGTCCGTCACTTCCTCTGAAACGTTTCTGGTGCAGATAACATGTTCGGCTGCCACCTGGACACCTTGTGTCACAGAGAAAACACCACCGTCCCCAGGTTTGTGGAGAAGTGTATCCGAGCAGTGGAGAGGAGAGGTAAACACGCTATGCACACAAAGAACCACACATTTCACACACATACACAGAGAAGACTAGTGTGTGTTCTTACTGTGTGTGAATTCAGGTCTGGATGTTGACGGGCTCTACAGAGTTAGCGGAAACCTGGCTGTTATCCAGAAACTGCGACACAAAGCTGATCACGGTAACGACCCATCTCACCCTCTGACAGCTGCACATCTGCAGCAGCTTCTCTCTATTCTCAGTTATGTCCTGCGTTAACACGGGGGCAATGACAATGAAACACGATCAAGGAAGTGCAGTTAGTAGACCCGCAGCTCGGCACAATGCTCTGTAACACTCACAGACACGACTGTACAACTTAGTGTTTTATCTCAGGCCATGGTGAACTCGATGGGAACTGCAAAAACACAGCGTTGGTGTTACACGCTAATTCACCAGGAACAGGAGCTGCAGTAAAAACTGAACCAGATCCTACCTTTTTCTGTGTGACACTGCATGTTGCTGGGGCCTGCTCTTCCCCTACTGAAGTGACACACAGCGTAAAAACAGAGTGAACATGTGTCTGAGTGCAACCTAACACTGTTTCTGCACAGCATGTCTAATGTGGGCCACCACTGGGAAAAGAGCTGCACCATCCAGATGAACATCAGATGGGTTTTTTTCAGAGTGCACAGCTTCCATTGTCCCAGACAACTATCATCAGTCAAACATCACCATCGAACTACAAGAACATTATTTTTAAAGTGTAGAAAAGCATGATGTTGTGATGAGGGGATGGCGACTGATCTCCCCTATTAGTGCATCACTGCATGGTGGAGGGTCTCAGCCACAAGACAACAAGATTCATCAAAACTGAATGGTGACGCCCTAAACGTGTAGGCTGTTTTTCCCTCCTCACTCTCTTAGACACCAACAGCATCAGTATACTGGCTTTTAACAGTAAACAACAGGCTTTCAGTAGAGCATGACAACTGTGTGAGGACACTCCCTGTGAGACCTATGTGCATTTTCTTCAAGTCACTATGAACAGAATAAAAAGAATAAAGTTTCCAATCATAGAATGAAAATTTAGATGGATTTAAGTGAAGCAGTTATTTCAAGGAAATACACATTTCCCTGTAATTGTAAAATATGCAATTATAAAGTACATATTGAACTTCCTGGGAAGTGACCGAATTGAACATTAATGTAACAATATGCAGACGGCGCCCTGCTGTACTTGCGTGATTAGACTGTGAGGCCAGGTGCTGGTTCCATTGTGTTGTGTCTCTGTCTCCCTGCAGAGGAGCAGCTGGACCTGGAGGACGGACAGTGGGAGGAGATCCACGTCATAACTGGAGCCCTCAAGCTTTTCCTGCGGGAGCTTCCGGAGCCACTGTTTCCCTTCAGCTGCTTTGACAAATTCATCGCTGCCATCCGTCAGTATATAATAAAACCTACATCACACACATTCAACAACTATTAAACCACAACTGTGGGAAATGTCTGACCAAATATTGAGCTTGTGGTCAGTTTGAATCAGAATCAGAATCTGCTTTATTGGCCAGGTGTGTTGGACACATGAGGAATTTGACTCTGGTACAGCGGCACTCAATGTGCACATGTATGTCAACAAGCAAGGGAATGCACATTAGGAAAGAGATAATAATATATAAAAAAGAGTAGACTACTTATAAATAGAGACCTGTACATACAGTGTGTGTGTATATATATATATATATATATATATATACTGCTCAAAAAAATAAAGGGAACACAACATAAGACATCCTAGGTCTGAATGACACCAATGAAATATTCTTATTAAATACCTTGTTCATTACATAGTTGAATGTCTTATTTTCCCTTGTGTTCCCTTTATTTTTTTGAGCAGTGTATATATATATATCTTGTCCATGAATGTCTTGTTCCAGTAGTCCACTTCTCATCAGGTTGCCCTGGTTCCTCAACACCTGATGCGGCATTGCCTAAGGACCCAGGTGGGATATTGACAGTGCCCTGACCAGGGTTCAAACCCCCAACTTTCTGAGCCAAAGTCAGTGGTGTTATCCACTATCCCATTTGCCGAGCTTGAAGAAAGGAATACAAGACCGACCCCAAAGTAGGGGGCGAGTGGGAAACAAATCCCCACAGTTAAACTACTTCCCCAAGATCAAAATTAAATATAACCTGCACTCTTTAGCCCAAACACAAATTAATTTAGCAGGAGAGCATCCCTATCCCACTAATTCAGGATTTAGGATCATTCTACTCCGCAAAGCCCACGCTCACCCCAAAATAAACAGAACAACAAAATCAACCCAACCCAAACCCCACAAAATACCACAATCCAAGGCAAAACACAAACTCTTATTAAATCAATCCCCAACTTTAGAATAAAATCAACAATCTACTTGACACCAAATACAGCTATATGAAAACTTTAAAAACCCACAGAAGAATACAATGGGCAAACACAACTCCCAGAGGGGGCGGGACCCACCGAAACCATAACAGAAATAAAGACCCGTGAATACAGAGACCCAACTGGGCCACCAGTAATCAAGATTTCTTTGTGATCGTCGGTGAAGAAGCAGACTGAAGAACAGAAGATTGAGGAAAAGAAGGTAGAAGAACAGAAGACTGAAGAACGGGAAGCGGCAGAAATAAAGTTTCCTGCTTCGAATGAAGCCCCAAACCAGCTCTTTTTAGGGCTAGGCTACTTTTTAGACCAGCTTGGGGCAGACAGACAGGCATTTAGTTTAAGGAGGGGTCTGGTAGAAGCTTGGGGGGTATCACCATACTAGCTGGTTGATGCTCCTCTGCCAGGCATTAACTCTCTGGGTGGTTACTACAGATTGCATGTTAGAATGGGTATCTGGGGAGTGAACTGAACGGTGGCAGGCCAGGGTAATCAAACCAGTCTGAACGCATGCCTGTCGCCTAATAGGGTCTTCTCAATCTGGACATTCCTCACCAAGGTACTCGGGATTGGGAGAGTGAGGCCTGTAAAAGCTGCAGCTCACTGCAAGCCGATCCAGGTGCTCCTTTGAGGTCCCCTAGTCCCCTAGTGTCCCCCATAGACACCAATAGAAGGGTTAGGGTTAGGTCCAACTAGAGAAACCACTGGGAGGCAGCAGTTCACTGCGGCTGGCCCTGGTCCTCTGGACACTGCTCAAGGGGGCTGTAGGGGACGATCGGGTTGAGCCGGGAAGGCAGCAATCCACTGCGGCTGGTCCCGGAGCTCCCTGAGCGACTTCCCTACTTCCACTTTCATGAGGGAAGAAGACAGAAGAGACCCAACTCTCAACCATGCCCATGCAGACCGGAGTAACTTAACTGTGCCAACAACTGGTCTGATTAACCTGTGCAAGGGGTAAGTATGCAGCCCTCCTGGGTCCACTTGGACAGCACGCAGGATGTGGTGGTCCAGGCAGAAGGACTTTAAATGCAGGCTGAATCTTCTATGGGGTTAGACATCTAGTTTGGTACTAATCATACAAAAGTTTAACTTTTAATCTCACATGGACAAACTACACTGAGGTTCTGTATTCACTGCAGGATCTGAACCCGAAACACAGTCACCAGTCAGATTTGTACTTAAAGCAACATGTGACTTCTCCAATCAGAACAACTTTTTTAAGCTGTGACAGTTTCTTTCTGCACAGTTATTCACAGACTGTGAGGAGAGCTAAGCAGACATTTAACATTTTCAGAGCAGCTGCCATGTTCTTCCAATTACACATTCAGAAGCAGAAACTAGTGATTCTTCAGTGAGTTGTTGATCCAATCAGCTGTCAGGATTACAAGTGTTAATGGGTCCAAACTTTAGGACCCAATCAGAGAAGGGCCCGTGTTAAACCTACCAGTGCTGATTGCTCGTTGTGTAGTAACAGGTGTGTGTGTGTTTGTCTGTCTGTGCAGAGGTTCCGGACTACAACCTGAGAGTCTCCTACATGCAGGACCTGGTTCGTTCTCTGCCTCTGCCAAACCATGACACCATGGAGCTGCTGTTCAAACACTTGCGCAGGTGAGTCCACAGCCTGAACCAGGCTCCACAACTAAGGACACACAGTAAGCTGGGGATCTGCACTCACCTTTAAAATGTTTGTGTTGTTGAGCACGAACAGACTGGCAACAAAAAGCAGCAGCCCTGTGTCACGTGGCTCCAGATGAAACTCGTACTGTCACAGTTAGTTTATCATTCAGTGAGTTAACAACACACGGTGTGATCATTAGTGTACAGTTGGTGTTTGGCTCATATGAAAAACTGTGGCGCTCATTTTCACCACTGTATTTGTGTATGCGTAAACAGTCAACACTGGGCTAAATGATTACCTCCATAATCACTCCTCTCTGATGCTGCTACCTCTTTGCTCTCCTCATCATCACGAACAGCAGCTGCTTCACGGTGTAGTCAGCGATTGTAATTCATTACACATTTTTTCATATTCTGTTAAATTTCCCTCACATTGCCCTGCTTGGCCTTTCAGTTTGTGAGCTCCTAACTGAAATGACTTGTGTACTTGTGTTCACGGTGATCCAAATGTTTACATTCTTTTGCTGGAATCGCTGACTATACCTTTGAATGAGTCTGTTACTCTTGCAGAGTCTGAAACTTCACCCAGCAAAGCCTGGTTCTCTCTCTGCAGGATTCCTTCTCTCTCCATGTTTTATCTATAAAACAAATTGCCTGAGAGCCAGTACTTTGCAGTTGTGCAGGAAAAGGCCTCACTGCTATAACAGGTTGCACCAGCCGCTGCCGTTAAATCAAGCAGTGGAGTATCTGTTAATGCTGTTTATCTGCTGTCTAAGGGGTCTGGGGACAGAACAAAACAGACTGGACTCAGTTAATGATGAAAGCTTGCACAATATGACCAGTACATTATCCATTAGAGTCTCCTGTTTGGTAACCGTGTGTAGAGAACCATGTGTAATGGGAGAACAGATGGGGCAAAGGCTGTCAGCCTGCTCTGAAACCATGTCAACACCTGAAATTATGAGGGACTATGCAATGGTAAACATTGCAATACTCAAATCCTGGGGTAAAATGCGTGGTTAGTATGTACATATGTAAATTCTGTTCTTGATTTTTCTCTTGACTAATTTATGCTGTCTTAACACTAGAACCGCCATGAGGTCATTTTGACCTCCATTACTCCTAATGCAAAAATGGTAAATAGACGGCACTTGTATAGCCATATACATTATATATCCAGTCGGATACACAGCTCAAAACACTTTACAGTAATGCCTCACATTCCCCCATTCTTACACACACACATACTTTCCAAAATGAGCAATAGGCGTTGCTAGGCAACCAAGATACAAAGTGAGTATAGTGTAGTGATGAACCTGATGTAGCCTTACCTAGGTAAGGGGAGAAACGTCACTACAGACAACATTTTTACATCACTCCCCCTTGTTCATAAACTCCTAGTAAGGAACACCAGCCTGGTAGGCACTGTGAACAAAAACAGGCGTTTACTCCCACCTTCTGTGCATCAGAAAGCACTACTGCATGACATCAAAGTGATGAAGAGTGACAAGGCAATGCTCACAACATACCAGGGCAAGGTGAACAAAAATGTGTGCATCTTCAGCACAATGCACCAGATGGTGGACGTGGAAAGTGACAGCCAGACACAGTGCACTATTATAACAAGACCAAGGTGGACGTGCACGTCCTGGATAAAATGATCAGACAATACTCCACAAGAGCCGCCACCCGCAGATGGCCAGTTGCCATCTTCTATAACATGTTGGACCTTACCGGAGCTGCACAAAAGTAAAAATTGCTAGGCACGACTTCCTTCTGAAGTTGTGTAAGGAATTACGCAGCGACCACATACAAATGAAAGAGGCAACTGAGACTGTACCACTGCCCCTTCAAACAGTAGTAGAGCAGCCTCGGGAGAAGCAAAGGCAGTGTACAGTGAAAATGCACTGCAATAAAAAAAACTGTAAATTTGTGCGTCAAGTGCCAGCGACCTGTGTGTGGTCGGTGTACTGTCAGTTCTTCAGTGTTTCTGCTGGTTGTGAGTAAGCTGTGTGGCAGAACTTGGAGCGGAATAGGCCTGTGGTTCCCAAACATTTTTGAGCAAGGCTCTCTTTCTTTGTAAATATTTCTGAATTCATGTTCATTTCTCATGAAAGCAATGGACTGTTATTATTGTAATGTTCAGTGTTTATGAGCAATGTGAACATTTTTACCGTATGTGTTTGACAGCTTTCTCATATTTTATTACATGTACTTTTCCACTGATAGTTTAACTGAAGTGAATTTATATTTTTATATTGCTAAAATAAAAGAAATTAAATTCTGATGTTTTATTATTTCATCAATTTTTACATGCTATTTTGAAAAAAAAAAAGACCAAACATTTCTGTAATAGACTTCTAATTCGTAATTATAAAGCCTGAAGTGGTGTGAGGTCAAAATGACACCACAGCGGTTCTAGGAGGTATTGCATTGTTGGCGGTTCTAGTGGAATCTGGAATTTGTTTATCAAGATACAGTATGTATGTGGTGCTTGTTCTCATGGTGTTATGTTCTTTGTTCTCCATTGCTGCTGAAACACTGAAATTTCCCCATTGAGGGATCAATACAGTACCTACCTACCTACCTGTCTCTTTTCCTCCAGGGTGATCGACCACAAGGACTCCAACAGGATGTCGTTTCAGAGCATCGCCATAGTGTTTGGACCAACGCTACTTCGCCCCCAGATCGAGTCACCTGACATGACGATCCACATGGTGTTCCAGAGCCAGATAGTAGAACTCATGCTCAAGGAGTTCCAGACCATTTTTTCCCACAGGTAGGAGGAACCTCCTGGAGCTCCTCTGGACCAGAACCCTCTGAGCACCTCTCGGGGGCGTGTGGAGCATCATGAGAACTACCAGAAATCTTCCAGAACTCCCTAGAACTTGAGATGTAAATATCAAATAGACGTTTGCAGGCAACTGACCCTGGAACTTGCTGATTAGATGTTGACACCTTCTAACCACTGTGTCATAAATGGTCCAAGTAGAACAAAAATAACCCTGGACTGGTTTTAAACCTTTGACAACAGCTTTACTCCTCATAAAGCAACAGACCAAATGGAACATATATTCTTGATACCTTAAAAACCGCAACATTATACTTTGTACCAGACCTCTTCCAACAAATTCCAGTTCCATGTAGAACCTCCTACATTCACTACATCACTTGTCTCGGGGCACTTTACATCATCAGGTCTAGACCTTACACCACCAAGCCTTCAAAGACTAAGACAGAACCCGAGTGGAACCATCCAAAGTCCACGACAGCAGCTTCATTTTCATTTTCAAGGTGATGGACCAAACACAACACACACTAAGAAACCTCTACAGTTTTTCATTTTAAGCAGGATCTGACCCAACAACTTCCAGACTGCTCCAGAAAAACATAACCTCACATGTTCTACAGACATGTTCATTTAGATGGGGTTGAATGTAGAGCCTGTTGAGCACATTACAACCAGCAGACTATCAAACCTTAAATGGCCCAAGTCTAACCTGAATGGAACCATGAAGAACCCTGGACTGGCTCTGAGATCCCTTTGACCCCTTGACACAGAGACATGAGACAAACTCGCTGGGCACTTTATACACACACCTTTAGAAGTCTAGACCTCCATGTCCAGTCTGTCTCTGGAGATTCCGCCTGTGCCTTCTGCTTTTAAAAACTCCAAGGTTCCAGGTGTGTTGGTATTTGAAGGTCATTCAGCAGATAAATACCCCTATACTCAG